ACCGGTCCACCAACCAAGCCAATTATGTAGACACGTGCATGTCGCTCCACCTGATCTTCGGGGGTGTCTGGGCCTAAATTAACCTCCAATTGGATTTGCTCAACAAGTCACGGGATCGATACTTGCCCCGCATTGAGCGGTGGATGCCCAACCCCTTCGATGGGCGTTGTGGTCGGCATGTTGAACCCAAACGGTCGAGAATCAATAGCCCCCCAGCCACCTTCGGGTTTACTCGAGTTGCCGATGATGGCCTCTCCAGTGACCGGTAGCCCGGTGAGGATGGCAACGTCTCTGAGGGTGATCGTCATTTCCCCCTCAGGAAAGTGGAAGATATGCAGCTAGGGGCGCCATTGCTCTGCCATTGCCGTCAGCAGATCGTTGTCGATATCAAGCCTCATGAAGTGCCTCAACATGTGCAATCCCATCCTCTCTAGATAGGGCTCCAGTCGAGGATGCCAAAAAGGCAATCGTGTTGTCCCTCGATGACTTATGGGAATAAGTGATTCCTACAAAACAAAAACACAATGTTGTTAGTCAAAAGAAAGCATAATAAAAACTTTTAAACTAATGAAATAATTTACAAATTTATATGGTACATAGTGTCTACCGGATTATTGTCCCAAATTGCACGGGAGCAATGTTGTTCTTGCTCGTTTAAATATCTTCGATCCCTTGGGCCATGATCGATATACAATCGAGAGTCGTATATCTCAGCACCCATCTATAAAAAAATGTGGAATGAAATCTAGTTATTTCGAACCCATTTAAAAAAATATCACAAAAGAAAAAAAATTATGTACTCTCAGAGCCTCTTTGTCCATTTTTTGGCAAAAGCTGGAGAGAGTATCGACGGATTTTAGAGCGAAAGATTGTAAACAAAAAAAAACTATAGTAATTCTTTATGATATGGAAGATCGGACTTAGCCGCAACTATAGAGCATACTTAGAACGAAAACTAGAGTGAAAGAATGGAGGGAGAAAGAAGTATAAAATGGTGGTGTGGTTTGGAATGGGGGGGAAGAGTGCTATTTATAGGGGAAGTGACGCTGGAAAATTAAAGAGCAATCACCGCTCTCCTCAAATGCGGTGAAGTGCCTGCTTTTCTCAAAGACGGGGAAGCTTCCAGATTGATGACGTGGCGAGCTGTGAAGCGTCGGATTTGGGAGAAAAACCAGAATTCGCGCTTCACCGCATCAGACGGTAACGGTGAACGGCGCGAGGCGACAGGGATCGCTAACGTGGACAGCGGGGCTTTCCCCGCATTTGTGTACAGCGGTGAATAGCACGCGGTTGTCCATGTCAACGATCCGCGTCCCCTCACCGCTCTCCTCCTTAACGGTCTTGTTTTCTCCGTTTTTCTGTACTGCGGTGATGTATTCCCCGTTGTAAATCAATGCGGTGATTGGTTCACTGCCTATGTCCAAAATGGTGATATATTCACCGTTGTTTACGACGGATCACTGTCTTGGTCCATGACAATGATCAAACTGCTGTATTTTTTTGAGAAATATTTTTATAACTACTATATTTTGATTTTTTTTTAATAACTAGTGTATTGTGAGATTTTTCCCTTATTTTCCTAGTCGTCTACTTTAACATCATTACTTTTCGGTCCAATCTGTTACACGTTCTTCTTTCTTTCGCTGAAGGTCCCAATTCTTTCGATGCCATTGATAGCAAGGGAACGCTCCACTTCTCTACAATCTACATCTGTTGCTGGCTTTTGATTCCTAAAGCCTCGAAACCAGTTTTCCGCTGTAATCTCTCCTTTCCTCTTGCGGGCGGTCGTGTGCAATTTCCCTTACCGCTTCTTTCGTGCAAATAATGTTTTTCCCGCCTCCGGATGTTAGGTTGGGTCGCTGTTGCTTTTAATGACTGGTATTGTTTTTTTGGCCGTTCTCCATCCTTGTAACCATGGCACCTGGCACGTTAGACTGGCTGTAGCAATGAGGAAAGTTGGTGAAGTGCAAGTGTTTGTGTATTTCCCTCAGAGAACGAGGTGCCCAGAAAGCAGTTGGGCGGCGAGGTTGCAGAGCAGATTTATGACTTCGAGCAAACGAGTTCAAGACAGAAGCAGGTTGAAAAGGGTACACGATCTGGAATTAGTGACAGAGTAGTGGAAAATTTTGTCCAAAGTGATGACAGTCATGGAGGTGTTGAAGCAGGAGCCAGAGATGATCATCCCGGTCAGGAACCTTGAGCAGCATGGCCAGCGGCTTAATCTACTTAGGCCCAACAGAATCTCTGATTTTCTCCGCAAGTCCCTTAAGCTTTTTGAATTGTAGAAGGATCAGAGAGGGGTCATGATGATGTCTGATGATGCCTGGGGATAAGCGGCTGCCATTAGACAAAATTGCTACCTTCAGAAGAGATTTTGGTCTGCAGATTGATTTTAGGGCCGATTGGGTGCATAGGTATCCAGAACCTCTTAAGGTTAAAAAGCCTGCTGATGGAAGTGATTATTTGGAGCTTGTGCAGTGGAACCCAGCTTGGGCTATCACTGAGTTAGAGAAGAAGGTGTTGGGATTAACTGAAGTAAATAATCACAAGCCTGGGGTGTTCTCAGTGGCATTCCTTCCGAATTTCCTCCCGGTTTCAAGAAGTTTGAGCCCTTCCAGAAAATGCCTTATCTGTCACCTTATGCAGATTCTAAGGAGCTTACCGCAGGGTCGAGAGAATTTGACAAGAGGGCAGTAGCTATAATGCATGAGCTACTTAGCTTTACTGTTGAGAAAAGGCTGGTTACGGATTACCTTACTCACTTCCGTCGGGAATTTGTAATGCCACAAAAGTTGACGAGACTTCTGCTGAAGCATTTTGGAATTTTCTCCGTGTCTTGAGAGGGGTAAAAGGTTTAGTGTATTCTTGACTGAAGCCTCATTGGTTCGTTGGAAAGAAAGGCTCTTAAGTATTGTTGGCTACAGAGGAAAGAGGAGCGAGGTCTGTACTTTCAGCGACTCATCAGACATAGATAGAGTCTACTCATACGATGGAAAATGATTCTCTGAAAATGGAACCTGGTCTTCCGATACGACGAAGAAGGGGTACTGGATGGTCTGAAACACACTTTGCTTGCACAAGATCATGTGATCGAACTGGGGTAGATTGTCAGTGTGTACATAGATGGTGACGCTTCTTCAGCGTAGTGACATTAAGTTGTTGGGAGCTGTGGATTGCACTTGGTTAGATAGTGGGTATAGTTCACTAATGACTGACCTTCATTCTGTTTTAATCAACTTGATGCAGAACCTATAGATCATTTGCTTCTTCACTGTGAATTCTCATAGCAGTTGGGGTGCAAGCTCCTTATACATGGACTAATGCCAGGAATTGTCCTTGGTAATGATCCCCTATTCTCAAGATCATAAATCTTCTATTGACAAAAAGAGGGCCACTAATCTAATAAACTATGGCTCTTCCTTGTGGTTTTTTCTTGGTATTCCTGGTCAGAATGAAACATCAGAAGCTTATTGATAAGCATTCTTCTGCCATGCATCGGATTGGTAAGGTCAGTTTCTCGGCAGTTTAATGGGGGACACAAATGACAGGAGGGGTTTAGTCAGGAAGAATCTCGTAGATGGATCCATAATTTGCTTCTTGTTCAAAGGCGACTGAGATTGTAACTTTATTGCTTTGTATGATTGTGTATTAGGGTCGGTGGTTGTTTGACGGTGTGCTATTCTTTCTCTTTTCCTTGTGTTTGCCTATTCTTTAATTTCTTTAGGTTAATAATATTAGCCATTCATAAAAAAGTCTTCGTTCTTTTTCTGTTCTTTTTTGGATAAATAAATAATGGTCTACAATATCTGTTATATCTCCGCCCTTTTGGACAGTTAGTTCTATTCTATAGTTTTTCAATGCTCTGTGTAAGTCTGCTTCGTGTTAAGTTTGTTTGAACTTTGTGCAAAAACATGCAGGCTAGTCTTTTATCGATCTTTTTGAGTTGGTATTCCTGGAGCATAGATTGCACCAATTCAAACTTTTGCGTCAATATGTTAGGAGGAATCGGGAACTTGATAGCTTTTGCTCCAAGTTTATTACCTCTAGGCAAACTGGGAGAAAATGATTATTAATCTTACTTGAGCTAATTATGGATAAGCCACTTGATACCCCTTCAAAGTGACTTTCGTTGAAGGTAAGGCCACCCGGGTGGCTGGTTAGCTGATTGTTTGTGTCTATGATTGGAATGTCCTTTCGCTACATCTATGCAATAAACCAACAGTTGAGATAAGATGGATTCAATTTATCATGCATCCATTGACTTTGATGTTTCCAGTTGCGAGGACATTAGTATTCTTGGATGCTTAAGCTCAATTTGCGAACTCAATCAGGTTGTTTGTTCTATATTCTTTCTATTAGCATGAGATTCATGCCAATTCTTGCTTGTGTATAACTTTTGCAGAAGGATAATTTAGTGGACTTTTTTAACTTCTCAATTCCAATGCCCATCTTTATGTGATTCTCCTACTGCAAGTTTAGGCGCATAAACTATGTTCCTCCTGTCATTTCCTCTAATTATACAATTATTTAGTAATATTGCTCGTCATTATATGTGCATTTTACAATCAGGTATTAATACCAGTCCATTGTGCCTGCATTTTTTAAAATTGAGCAGAATATATTTTTTGGGGCATGAAGCGACTTCCAGAGTCTCGTTAATCTCGGTATTACCCTCTAGAGTGATCCACAATAGTGGCAAAACCATGTCCCTGGACCATGGTTACCTTCCTTGAATATTACACGCTCTGCACGGCCTTAACATGATCCAAGACTTTGGAAGTTTGCTCTGCGACCCGGGTTCTATTAGTCGTGCTGTGAAACTGGCTACAAGATTTTAATCCTGTAACTATGGAAAGTTTGCTCTGTGATCCTGCTTCGATTAATCATGCTGTGAAACTGGGTACAAAATTCGTAGGGCCAACTTCTTACGGTAAAGTGTTTTGAAGACTATTTGGCAGAGGAACATCAGATGGGTTAGCCAAGTTGCATCAAGGTGCCCACAACGTTTGAAACTTTGAGTTGGCCATTTACTGTAGCCAAAAACACATTTAATGTGGATATACGTCAGCAGCTGCATAATTCACGAATACAGCCGAATGCCACATTATGGCATTCCAGAAGATCGTCAACGGCACAGGTTAGCGTGTTTTCCTATATATTAAGTACTAAGAGAGTTGCATTGTTGACCAACTTGTCTACAATAATTCTGCTGGCATATGAAATAGCCATCTACCTGTCTATCCCTTTTTAGTGCATAGCCATATATCTTCAATTCTGTCATCTATCTTGGTGTTGGTTAAGTGTGTACGCTGCTGTGGGGTGGTATGGAGGCGGCCATTTGGTCTAATATCATTCAATGGCCACAGTAAAGGTGATGCCTCTCTGGCAAGTCATTTCATTGACTATTGTCAAAGAAATGTAGATGTCAAGATGGTTAGCAGCTAGAGGAGTTAATAAGTTAAGTTATTTTTTTGCCATTAGTTTCTGTTGTTTGACACGTGAATAGCTGCGGACCCGAAACTGATCTCAACCAAATCGACAATGGTGAAATCAGTTTGGATGTCAACATGGTTAGGGAGTTTGTTGTGCAAGCATATATATTAGTTTCAGCCAATTGGCATGTGCATAGCTGGCATAGTTGAAGGCAACCGGAATCAAAATGTCTGATTTTTGCCTTCCACTTTGCAGACTATAGCATGTTCTTCATGTTCATCGACTCCCTATGTGATAAGGATTATGTTCTGCAGAATTTTATCAATAGCATCCCTGAGCCGGCTCGAGGCTAAAGTTGCCTTGTAGAGTAGATGAGTAAGTATATGCCCAGGAAAGCAATTTACTCTGAACCAGGGTTCATGCACTCTTGAGTAAGGCTTGCATCTGTAGCGAGTTGTAGTTTCGCTGGTCCAATAAGAACTTCCATCGCCTTCTATGAATTAGAAAAGGGCGTCAATCTGATGTTCACTTAAAGGAGGATAGAGTAGCGGTAATCTGTGATACAGTTTATTTTAATCCTTGGATTTGTTCGTGATTGATCCTTATAAAAAACTGTGAAATAGGCAAAACATATCCTTTTCCTATATAAGGGTGGTTTTTTTACCGGGTAGGCCCAGGGTCATGAAGCCGTTCAGCTAGCCGCTATCAACAATTAAGAGTTTCACAAGTAGGAGGAACCGTGAACAAGTGGGCTATATGGTTGCTATCCCTGTATTCTCTTTCTTATACACATTTCCAGTTTTGGTATCTTTATCAATTGTTTCGAATTATCTTCATACAGCTGATATTGATCAGGTCTGTGAGATAATAGTGGTTGTAGCTAAACCATGAAGCTGGGTGTATTCATTTTCCAGCTGGGGGTTGTGGAGGTACGCCAATCTACTAGCACTATCTATTACATGCGTATAACCCTCAACTACTTCCTGTATTCCCTGGTTGACAAAAGACCCTTAAGCCGGAGTGAACTCATCCATTACAGATTTACATTGTTGTCTTTTTTGCCATAGAAGTAGAAGGGAACTTGAAAAAGAGGGGGAAAAAAAGATAAGAGAGAGAGAGAGGGAGAGTGGAAGGAAGAAGCGGGTTGAAAGTTTGAATTCTGACCCAGTTCTCATTTAATGAAGAAATTAAAGCAGTTTGATGGATGGCCCTTCAAGTTTCAACTACAACGTAGCCAAAGTTGGTGTTCGCATTTACTTCTTGCCAACTACCTCTCTCTCGCCTTACTTGCATTCATTTTTCTTACATCTACATTTACAGATGAACATAACCCATTCCCTGCAAATTTCCTTATATATAATCATCTGCCCTAAGCACATTCTTTGAAGTTGTACAAGTAGTAGTAGTAGTACATTGGAAAGTCCAGAATCATGGCTAGAGAGAGGGATCTCCTGTCCACAGAGATTGTTAACCGTGGGATCGAGTCTTCAGGACCCAATGCAGGCTCCCTGACGTTTTCTGTTCGGGTAAGGAGGAGGTTGCCCGATTTTCTCCAGTCAGTAAACCTCAAGTATGTGAAGTTGGGTTACCACTACCTCATCAATCATGCCATCTACTTGGCCACCATTCCTGTTCTTGTGCTTGTGTTCAGTGCTGAGGTTGGAAGCCTCAGCAGGGAAGAGCTCTGGAGAAAGCTATGGGAAGATGCTCGCTATGACCTCGCAACTGTGCTTGCTTTCTTTGGCGTTTTTGTCTTCACACTCTCTGTTTACTTCATGTCTCGCCCCAGGTCCATCTATCTCATTGATTTTGCTTGCTATAAGCCTGATGATGATCTCAAGGTAACGCAACTTGGTACTTTTAGATCCCCCTCTCTCTCTTCTCGCTTTCAATAATAATTTTGATTCCTATGTCATCGTTATTATCTCGTCTGACTACTTGGCGTTTACCAGGTGACTAAGGATCAGTTCATAGATTTGGCTCGTAGGACAGGCAAGTTTGATGAGGCAAGTTTGGAATTCCAGAAGAGAATTCTGCATTCCTCAGGAATTGGGGATGAGACCTACATTCCCAAAGCCATTATGGCTCAGGAGAACTGTGCGACAATGAAAGAGGGTCGTGCAGAAGCTTCAATGGTGATGTTTGGTGCTCTTGATGAGCTGTTTGAGAAGACCAGGATCCGGCCCAAGGATGTAGGGGTCCTGGTGGTCAACTGCAGCATCTTCAACCCAACACCATCCCTCTCGGCCATGATTATCAATCATTACAAGATGAGAGGTAACATTCTGAGCTACAATCTGGGAGGCATGGGTTGCAGTGCTGGGATTATAGCCATGGATCTGGCTCGTGACATGCTCCAAGCCAACCCGAATAACTATGCTGTGGTGGTTAGTACTGAGATGGTTGGCTACAATTGGTACTCTGGCAAGGACCGGTCTATGCTCATCCCAAACTGCTTTTTTAGGATGGGTTGCTCTGCAATCCTCTTGTCAAACAGGAGGCGTGACTACCCACGTTCTAAGTACCGGCTTGAACACATTGTTCGAACCCACAAAGGTGCTGATGATCGCAGTTTCAGGTAAATTTTATTTATTTGCTAGTCTTAACTCAATGTTATCTGCTATTTGCTTGCGGGGGGTTTGCATGGGATGCTATAAGGTTCTGTTACTTTCAACGATGGTGATGGGTGAGCCCTTGATAGTGAGAACTTGTAGTTTGACTAATTTTTACTGGCTAGCATCGGAAGGGGAAGTTGGAAATGCAACTAGAGTCGAGTCTGCCCCTGCTTAGTATTTAATCGTAGACACCATGGACTTGGAGATGCTTTGGAGTTCGGACGTCTTGCTACAGTAGGTTGGAAGGTTTTCCTGGCACTATAATGGAAACTAAGGAAATTCAGGGAAGTAAAATAAAAGAAGAATTAAGGACATGGGAATAGGCTAGCTTCCAAAGATCTTGATGATATAAACTAGCAATAATTTGCATTTTTATTCTCTCAACATTCAGGAATAGTAGTCCCAAGACAGTAGCATCTTCTTGCAATAAGTGCGATTGTCTTACTTAGTGTGACCGGTACATGGTTATCTTTCACACCCAACTCTACGTGTTTAAAACCCCTCATTACCCACCAAAAGGTAATGGAATCGTGCATGAGAAGAAGAATGTCTAACATTTTTGTTTAAGTCTAACCATGTGACATTAAATATTATATCATAAATCAGTGCCTACTACCTTCCGCCATCTTGATTGTGATTTGGGTTTGGCAATTTTTTCCAGTTTGTTGTCTCTGAATTGTAGTTATAAACCTGCTTGTTTAAGCTGAAGTTTGGAACTTGGATGTGGGTGGGGGTTTTAAAAAATTATAGAGCTAACTGAAGTTGTGCTCGGTACAGAATCTATGATCTTGATGTTGAGCATAGCTTCCTAATGAGATGGGTGGGGCTTCTTTTCTGTGTTTTCCCAAACTGCTGTCAGGTGTGTATACCAAGAAGAAGATGAGGAAAAGCACAAGGGACTAAAGGTGAGCAAAGATCTGGTTGAAATAGGAGGAGAAGCCTTGAAAGCCAACATCACCACTCTAGGGCCTCTGGTGCTACCTTTCTCAGAGCAACTCCTCTTCTTTGCAACCCTTGTGTGGGGCCACTTGTTCGGGAGCAAGAAGAAGCAGAAAGGCAGTGGCGGTGGAGGAGCCCATCCATTATTAGCGGCGTCTTCAAAGCCGTACATCCCGGACTACAAGCTGGCTTTTGAGCACTTCTGTGTTCACGCTGCCAGCAAGACAGTGCTGGATGAACTGCAGAGGAACCTGGAATTGAGCGACAAGAACGTTGAAGCATCGAGGATGACACTTCACAGGTTTGGGAACACGTCCAGCAGCAGCATATGGTATGAGCTGGCTTACCTGGAAGCGAAAGAGATGGTGAGGAGAGGGGACAGGGTGTGGCAGCTGTCGTTCGGCTCCGGTTTCAAGTGCAACAGCCTGGTGTGGAAGGCAATGAGGCGCGTGAAGAAACCTTCCAGGAATCCCTGGCTTGATTGCGTTGACAGATATCCTTTCCAAGCTTAGAAACTGCGAAAAGAAAGGGGAAGCTGGTGAGGGAAATGATGCAAGTGACTATTGCATTAAAGCATATTCTTGAGAAGGACACAAATGGGTTTGGATTCGTTTTCTTTTTAAACTAAACTTGTTATGAGCAACTAGAGCTTGCTGCTCTTTTATTCTTGTTTTTGTTTTTCTACCCTGGATTTGGACCTAAAACAAGCAAACCCAGCAGTGGAGGGTATTTACCAGAAGGGGGAACCTGCCCTTGTGAGTATCTAAGAAATTCCAATTCTGCTGTTGCATCGTGGAGAAACTGTAATGTTAAGGTGCCACTGCCTGGAGGAAAATGCTGTTAGTAGGAGTGTCATTGTGGGTTTCGTACTATGGTAAGGCTGGATGGTTTGTTGGGGTAACGGAACCGTTGACGTTGAGTGATCAACCTAGCTTCAGATGAAGTCATAAGTGTTAGTGTTAAGCCTTATAAAATAAAAACATCAAGTTTCACAGTACTGTTGTGTTGCTTTAAGTTCCATCTGTGCGTTGAGTTCCTCAGTATTTCTCAAAATCAGTTGTCAAGTTACATGGTAAAGCATCGTTTGCACACAACCCGGAGGCTTAAATAGGAGGTCATTTCGAAATAGGGTTAATGCCACATTTGGTCACAGTGATTACTAAACTTTGTCATGTTTAGTCACTAGAAAAAGTTAATATTAAATTTGGTCACTTTAATTACCGAAACAGTTCACATTTAGTCACTCTCCGTTAATCTCTGTCCAACTTCGTTAATGGAGTCCGTTAATGTGCTGAGATGGCTAACGGGAGCGCCTAGTCGCCACCGTTTTGGGCAGGAAGTGGTCAAACCCGACACGCCACATCACTAAACCCGCCATGTCATACACCAAACTCATTAACCCAACCCAACCCGACCTAGAACCAAATCCTAGCGCACTTAACCAAATAAAATTAGAAAATCGATCAGGTTAGTGGCAATTTAGATGAAAACCCTTTTTCCTTCCCTGCGAAGCTCTGCTCCTTCCTTGAATCAATTCCCCCACACAAAAAAAAAATTCCCCAAATTAGTCAAAACCCGGAATCCCTAGATCGTTAAGGATCAGAGCCCGTCAATAAAACGAGATCGATACCGATTCTGGATCAGATCTTGAAAGTTCTTTCTCACCTTATCTTCTTTTACCCCGGGTTTGCTTAGTAGTTTGAAGCATTTTTACTCCCGGAGGTTTGGTTTTATGCCGGGTTGTGCCTTGTTTTGGTGTTTCTCAGAATTTGGCAGGTGGAACCAACCACGGAGTCGAAATTTGGAAGAATGGGCGAAAAATCAAGTCAAAGGGTGGAAGTAGCAGCAGATCACGGTTTGAGCTGTGTGTTCACGGTCACTAGAGGTTCTACCCGTGAACAAGCAGACATTCAGAGCAAAAATCACTTTCACTAGACACAAGTCAGTTCACGGTCGTAAGGCCGTGAACTCAGGCCATTGCCTGTGAACAAGACTTAGTGATGCGACGCGCTTCGACTTGAGATCACGGTCCGGGCTTTCAGTTCATGGCTGTGAACTGGGACCGTGATCTTATCCCGATTTGGGTATATAAAGAGGTCGAGCTGAAAGGAAAAAGGGGAGAGACCTATTGTGAGAAACTTCTTCTTCTTCATATTTCTAGAGTGAGAAAGTGACAAACCAAAGAAGAGGAGAAGCGAGGGTTTCATATTCAAGCAAGGATTTGGCAATTCCTCCCTCAAAAGGGGGATCTCTTCAACACTAGAAGCAAGGCCAGCATCTCATTGATGGGTTTCCTTCTTCTCTCTTGTGTTTTCCCTTCTCATAGCATGAAGTAGTCCCTTCTTTCACTTGGGTGCTTGTACACCCTAGGTACAATTATGTGAATGCTCGTAAGGATTTACTGATTTGTGTGTGGTTGTGTTTAATGTGAATATGGAAGTATTACTCATGAATGATTGTGTTGTGTGAAAGCCTATTAATCTATTTGCCATTCTAACATAGGTAGAGAGATCCCCCCTTCTTTGAAAGAGGCTTACAAAGCTAGGTTTTCTTAAGCAATTCATTGTCTCCTATCTACGTTAATGTAGGCCAAGCCTCTTAGTTCGTATTAGCACCTAGGGTTTGGTTGTGGGTGGCCGTCCGAACTCCGATTCGATGGTGAAGTCTTGGCAACCCTTAGTCAATAGGTCGAGAGAGTCACATCGGGGTGGCTTGAATCGAATTCCCTCGACCTAGAGACCAAGAGAGTGGTGTTTGGCTACTTGTTGCACTTCCCTATGGTTTACAACCACCTTACAACACATGACCATTCGATCCGATAAGTCATAATTGTTAGCTAGGGGGAGCAACACCCGGGTGAAGCCTTCTTAATTAGTGTCAAATCCGTTTACTTTTCCAAACATTTTAGCTATAGATCGTTGTTTTCACCAAAAATCAACCACTAGATAATGTTTCAAACAATTGAAGTAGAGGTACATGAACCGGCCCGGGTTGACATTTAAACATATTTGCCAACATATTTGCCCTAGATTGCACCAAATTAAGGTTTATACTTGGGCTTTAATTGGGAGTTTTATTGTGGTATTCGGGATGAGTCAAGTTTTTGGCGCCGTTGCCGGGGATCAAACGGTTCATTATTTTGAAAAGATTGTTTGGTGTTAATCTAGCTTTTACTTTTTACTTTTGTGCTTGTTAATCTTGCTTGTGCTAGACGTGTTGTGGTTCTTTTTGAGTGTGTGCAGGGAGGTGTATGAACTAGAGTAATCCGACACCTTTGGCGCTACTAGACGAGAATCTCAACCGCATTCTCCGAAAGTTGGCTCGTGAGAGGGAACTGGCGGAGGCAAGAAGGAGGATAGAAGAGAAAGTTGTAGTTGAGGAAGGAGTTGATTCTGAAGAGGAAGAAAGTGAAACCGAAATGGAGGCTAATCAACCCGCTCAAGGTGGAGCGGCCGCGAAGGAGCAACCAAGGACCATGGGCTACTACATGGCTCCAAGGGCGGCGGATATTCAACCCGCCATTTGACATCCACCCGTGGCCGCCAACAATTTTAAGATCAAGCCCGCCCTTGTCACCATGATTCAGAACAATGCCCTATTCCATGGGCCTAGCAACGAGTCTCAGAGGGAGCATGTTCAGAAGTTCATTGAACTTGCGGTGAGTTTGAAGATTAATGGTGTCCCCGAGGATGCTTTAAAGTTGAGGCTATTCCCCTACTCTGTTGCGGGGAATGCGTCTCGGTGGCTCAACAATAGGCAGGCTCTCTCGATCACTTCGTGGGATGATATTCTCAACAAGTTCATAACTCGATATTGCCCGCTTCAAAGACGGCGGAGTGGCGCTAGAAGATCACCCACTTTGAGCAAGAGAAAGATGAGATGTCAAGGGATGCTTGGGAAAGGTACTCCGATTACTTCCTCCAATGCCCACACCATGGATTCGAGGAGAAATTCCGGATTGAGACCTTATATGGCAGTCTCCACCAAGACGACAAGATCCTCATTGATTCATTATGTCAAGGAAAATTGATGAACATGACTCCACCCCAAGTGACCGAGTTGCTCAAAGACATGGCAAGTAAAGGGTATGACTGGGGTTTGACAAGAAGTGGAAAGAGAAGTGCCACAAGTGGAGTGCAAAGTGTAGGAGCGAGTCCTCCATTGGAAGCTAAGATTGATCGGTTGATTGATGCATCCCTAGAGAGCAAGAAGTGGGAGAAGAAGGCAGTAGCGTTGTGTGATTAGAGTTTGAGTGCAAGCTATGAAGGGGCGGAGCGCCAAGTGATGAACGAGGAGGAGGGATCTCGTGAGAAGTTGTACTCTATCTCCCCCACGAGTCCCGACAGGATGTCCGGTTTGGAGGAGCTTGTGACCAATGTAGTCAAAATCGCGCTTTAAAGCTTAAAAACTTACGCGTGTACGCTTCTAGGTCACCAAAACACTTCTACGCAGAAACTATGATTTTATAATTAATGTAGTTAACAATGCGCTTCAAACCTGAAAACTTATGATTTTACGCTTCCAGATCACCACAATGCTTCTATGTAAAAGCACACTTTTGACTACATTGCTTGTGACTACCTTTGTCAGTACAGCTCCAAACTTTTTGAAAAAATAGAAAGATTCATCGGGGAGGCGACATAGAAGTTCTCGTCCATAGAGGCAGGGTTGCAAAGTCATCAATCACACTTGACAACCTTGACCACGAGGATGGGGGCTATCTCGCAAGCAACCCTTTCTCGGAGACAATCATACGAAGAGGAACTAAGGGGCGTGACCCTTCGTAGCGGGAGACAAGCGAGGGAAGTACCTCTCCAGAAGAAATCTCCCAGGGTAGAAGAGCGAACCAAAGCCACTCTCGAGCAAGAAGGGAATTCAAGTGTGACGGTCTAGGATAAGGTGGATTCGACTCCTCAGCGAGAACAGAAGAAAGAGAAAGAAAGTCTACCTCTTCCTTACCCCACCAGACTCCACACAGACCGCATGGCGACAGAGTTCACCCACTTCATGAAGTTGATGAACCAAATGCATCCCAACATTCCATTTGTTGAAGCCCTCATTCAGATGCCCAAGTACGCGAAGTACTTGAAAGACTTCCTCACCAACAAGAAGAAGCTGGAAGGAATGACTACTGTGATCCTGAATGAGGAGTGCTCGACAATAGTGCTCAACAATCATACAGAACCACCTTCCCGCACAGCGCAAAGATCCAGGGAGTTTCACTATCCCTTGTTTTATTGGCAATATGTGCATAGGGAGGTCCTTGACGGACCTAGGGGCTAGCATTAATGTGATGTCGTATAGATTATTTAAAAAGTTAGATCTAGGTGAACCTAGAACTACTAGAATGAACATCTAGTTGGCTGATAGGTCCATCGTGCACCCTAAGGTTGTGGTTGTGGATCTACTCATTAAAGTTGGGACCCTCATTTATCCGGTCGATTTTATCATTCTCGACATCGATGATAATGTTGATGTTCCTCTTATTCTAGTAGACCCATTTTGGCCACCGCAAAGGCATTGATCGATGTGCAGTGGGGTAAGTTGGTTCTCACGACAGGGGATGAGAAGGTTACCTTCTCAATAGATTAGAGCATGAAGTTTTCTTGCCTTCATGATGATGTGTCTGATTTCGTTGCGGCACTCGCATCAGCGAGTGCCATTCCTACTGACCCCTTTGAGGAGTGTTTTTTGGTAGGTGCCAATGAATCGGAGCCTTCGGAAGAGGAGGGACAACCCTCACGGGCTGAGGAAGCCTGCATTATAACCGACGAAGCGGAGTTGGAAGCCTTACCCCCCATGCACAAGATTCCTACCTCTTTGGAAGAGCCACCCGAGTTGGAGTTGAAGTCGTTGTCTCCCGACCTTTAATTGCCTTCCTGCGGGAAGACATCAAGCTCCTGGTCATCATCAATGCAAACCTCACACCCGAGCAGAAAACCCAATTGATCAAAGGTCTTGCATCATCATGAGAGAGCCATTGCATGGAAGATCACTTTTTACCCCTGGTTTGCTTAGTAGTTTGAAGCATTTTTACTC